TAAAAATTCAAAATAAAAATTAAACGTAAACGCACAATATCATACAAGTAATTTTTAGATATGACTATATTTTATATTTATTTATACTCATTGTGCGTTGTATTTAATTTTTATTTCAAATTTTCATTTTCAAAATTTAATATTTATTTCTGTTTCTAATATTTGCCTAATATTATACGGAGGCCCTAATAATATATCTCCAATTATAGAAGATTTGTTACCATTGAATGATCGCTGTCGCGACAAAGATATATTTGGTGAAGTCGTCGCTAGATGGCACCTACCCATGCGAAATCTACATGCGTAGCGTGCGTTGAAACAGCTGGATATTGCTGGATACCGACGGCCGTTTTACGTTCGATCGCCGGCCGATTGAGAGAATCGGAATCAGCTCGTCATTGCGATTACGAGAGATACGAACGGCAGGGAGTGTTTTCGGCGAGTAATTCGCAGCGAGTTGTAACGACATTGCGTTATCGTTCACTATAGTTGATGATTAACAGGTTTTCTCAAAGTGATTCTCGACGACGCGGAGTATGCTGGCTCTGAAAGTAAGGGACGAGAGCGTGTCTGATACCGCGTAAGTTCCGAGAATTGCGAGAACGCTGCTTTTGGTTTCTAGGCGACCGTTGTTAGTTGCTCTTACAGACGTATCCCCAAGAGTTTCCTATCGAGGAGCAATTCGGCCGCTTCTATCAAATCTGAAGACAAGATGTCGTTCGAAGACGAGAAACGTAAGGCTTCGATGAATAATCAGTCAAATGGAGAACGATCAAAGGGCTGAATTATAAAAATTCTAATGTTTTTCCCTTCTTTCTGTAAATAGAGAAATTCTTAAATATGCCGCCTGAGGAGAAGAGAAGTTTCTACAAGGGAGATGTGACGACTCTGGATCAGATCCCGACGTGGCCAGAGTACTGGAACAAAAACAAGTCAAATATTACCAAGACTGTCGAAAAGATTGAAAAAGTCGATGAAGTCTTAGCTAAGAAAGTATCGATATGGCAAGGAGATATAACGTCGCTCGAAATAGATGCGATTGTCAATGCTGCAAACTCGAGTCTCCTGGGAGGTGGTGGAGGTATGAGATATTTTTATTAAACAACTTTATGTATTATTTGAAAGACTTAAAATTTTTATACAAATATTTCTGAATATTTTAGTTGATGGAGCTATTCATCGAGCAGCAGGACCAAATTTAAAGAAGGAATGTGCAACATTTGGAGGATGCAAGGTTGGCGAAGCTAAAATCACAGGGGGTTACATGCTGCCAGCTAAATGTAAATAATTTGCTTAGTTTAATCTGTATTCTATTAAAAAAAAATATTTAAATACAATATGAATAATTTTGATGTGTTTCAGATGTTATTCATACAGTTGGTCCTCAAGGTGAAAAGCCAGATAAATTAAAAGAATGTTATGAGAATAGTTTGGCCCTGGCTAAGGAAAATCATCTGCGTACCATTGCGTTTCCATGCATATCAACTGGAATTTATAGATATCCACAAAGGCCAGCGGCCAAAGTAGCTTTATCGACAATCAAGAAATTTCTTCTCGATAATAAAGATGCTGTAAGATAATACACAAATATATTTATATGTATAATTATATTTTAGTTTTTTAAAATATACAAAAGTTTTATTATATTTTTTCAGATGGATAGAGTTATTTTTTGCTTATTTTTGGATACTGACAAGGAAATATATGAGGAACTATTGCAAAAATACTTTTCTCTCGACTAAATATCTATTCACAAATAAATTTCTACTATAAAATACCCACAATGTTTGGTATAATCTTGTAAGCCATATTTGGAAAATAAATTATTCATATAGAGTGTAATATAATATTGGATATTATTTCATTCCCTTTCTAATTTTATTTTCGAATATAACAATGCAATATCGTATAGAATAAGAAAAATAAATTTATTCGTTAATTCCAAAAAAAGCCTCTTTCTAAATCTTCATGTGTAAACACCAACGTTAATGATATTGTTGACATCATTGTAAATATTTAAAATTGGGACTATCTAACAATGATATAAGTCACGCTTTCGTATAGAAGTTTTGAGTTTCAAAATTAATTTAAAATTCTACTACACGATAAGATTTACTATTTAATCACCAGCCTACAATATAAGTTTCCGAAGGTTTAAAAAGCGCGCCCAGCGTGATGGCGTCGCGCGCCACCTGGCTCGAGGGCCGACGACGGCAGGTCGCCATCTTGAAAAATCGAAGTGCCGTGATGTCTGTGCGTGGCGATAGGTGGGGGATGGTCGGTCGTTAACGCGGTGCATCTCGTACGGGAAATCTATCGCAAATGGGCGAATATCCCTGAGCATCGAGGCCCAGGCCCGATTGCGCTACCGTACGAGCCGCGCGCTTTTCGCGTTCGTGTCGCGCGACACGGCACGCGTAACAGCAACATCATCGTAGTCGTTGTCGTCGTCGGACGTTCCTATCGGGATCGTCGCTGCCGTCGCCGTGGTCGCCGTTACCACCGCCTCGAGCACACCCAAGGGACCTCCACAGTCGGTCGCTCCTCGCCGATCTATCGTGGCGAGGGTGTGCGATCGCGATCGTACGCCCAGTGAGTAGAGTGATACTGTCGTGCGCTCCGTGGAGAAGAGAGGAGGAGAGAGAAAGAGAGAAAAGAAGGAGAGGAAGAGGAGTACAGTGTCGATAGTAGAGTCGTGTGTGGCGTTGGTGATCGTGCGCCGATCGGTACCGTGCACAGTTTCGTGCACGAGCGTCGCGAGAGCCGAAGGTTGAGAACCGAGCGTGTGTGCAAGCGTCTCGAGCGCGTTGTGTCCGTCCGTGGGGAAGAGTCTCGCCGCCGTCGTGGCCCTTCGCCCGCCCGGAGCTCCGAGCTCCGAGTCCGTTGTCCGTGTGACGCGAGGCGGCGAGCACGAGCACAGGCGTGCTGTAATGGGCGAGTGGAACGTGCATGCGCTCGCGGCGTGAGCAGCATCATCTCCGCGTTCAAACTTCGGAGGAAAACGTGAACGAGTGAAAATCGTACGGGCGAGACTTTGCTGGGTGGAACGACGAAAGGGGAGAGAGAGAGAGAGAGAGAGAGAGACAGAGACGGAGCGAAAGAGAGCCGCCACTCGATCTCGACGAAAGGCGAGACAAGGTGGACGTTCGTACGCGCGGACGAACAGAGATCCCGTAATCCTGAATGGCCGCCACGGCCGCTTTCTAGGTTACTACCGGACAGGCAGGAGAGCGTGCGCGAGAGAAAGAGAGACGGGGAGAAAGACACGGACGTAAGTGAACGAGGTGCGTCCGGTGCGAATATCGGAAGATACAACATCGTGAAGAACGAAAAGAAACGAGGGATCCTTGTGCACGCGCGAGTGAGAACCCCGAAGACGGACGCCCCAGGGGAAGAAGGAGAGAGAGAGAGGAACGTATAAAGGACGGAGCGCGAAGGCGGAAGGGGGAGAGAAGGAGACAGACACACCGAACGAGACCGTGAGCGCTCTCGCGCGGACGCGCGCGCGCGCGCGCACGGCACGCACCACCCGCGCCCGCCCGCCGCTACTCCGACACGAGTCCGCGACGTATTCCGCTACCTCCCCGCCGATGTACCGGCCACC